AAATCTAATGTCATGAAGTTTTTGTCCTGTGTTTTCTTTTAAAAGTTTTGTTGTTTAGAGTTCTTGATTTATTTTGAGGGTTTTTTTTTTTTTTTTGTACATGGAGTTCGGTAAGGGCGGTCACCTTTTTGCATGTGAATGTCCAGTTTCTCTAGCACTTTTTGTTGGAAAAACTGCCCTTCCCCTCACTGAATGGCCTTGGACCCTTGTCAAAAGCCCTTCCGCCACTCCTGCAGGGCTATTTCCAGGTACTCCGTTCTGTTCCGCTGGCATCCATGTCTGTCTTTGCACCAGCACTCAGCAACTGAGTGCTCCAGTTTTGTTCTTTCCGGGGATTGTTTTAGCTATTCAGAATTCTAGGGTGGGTTTTATTATTTCTTCAAAAACATCATTGGGATTTTGATAGGGATTACACTGAACTTGTAGATTGCTGTAGGTGATATTGACATTTTAACAACATTAAGTTTTCCAATCTATGACCTTGGACATGTTTCCATTTCTCTACATCTTAATATTTTTAGCAATATTTTGTAGTTTTTCATTGTACAAGATTTTCACCTTATTTAATTCCTATGTATTTATTCTTTTTGATGCCATTGTAAATTGAATATTTAGATTTTTAAAAAACATTTTTTTATTTATTTATGTAAGATCCGGGGTACAGACCAGATACCTGGGAGGGTGAGAGGATTCCCCAGAGCCAGAGCGGGGAACAGAACAGACAGACAGACGAAATACACTGCTGAGGGGAGCAGCGAGTGAGACAGGAGAGGTCTGCCACGACACGTGGGATTCTCGCAGGCCTGCCGGGATCGAACCCGCACTGCAGAGGCTGCAGACAGCTTCACAGTGCGGCACTCAACCACTTGCGCCACTACGGAGCCCCAGTTTAGATTTTCTTTTCAGATTGCTTATGTAAGTATATAGAAATGCAACTGATTTTTGTGAGCTGATTTTGCATCCTGGTACTTTGCTGAATTCACTTTTTCATTCTGACAGGTTTTTTTTAATAGAATATTTAGGGTTTTCTAAACATAAGGTCATATATGTTCTGCAAATAGAGAAAATTTTACTTCTTCTTTTCCAATCTTGATGGCTTTTATGTCTTTTTCTTGCCTAATTGCTTTGCCTACAACTTCCAGCAGCACCATGTTGAGTAGAAATGGACAAAGCAAGCATCTTGCCTTGTTCCTGATCTTAGACACTTGCAGCCTCTTACCACAGAGTGTGATGCTAGCTGTGGGTTTTTACATGCAGCTTTTGTTGTGTTGATGTAATTTTTGTGGGTCTGGTAATCCCAAGCAGTCTGTTAAGCCACCGTTTTTTGTTACCTGCAGTTCTACATTCCTTTACAAGGTCAGAACCGCCCTGTCAATTAGCTATAGGAGCTCAACCCTACAAGGTACATTTCAGATCTATCAAGAGCAGAAACCTGATCACCCTGGGAAAGGTGTGCATCTCAGGTATGACTGGGAACCCCCTGGGGCCATTGACCCTTGTCTGACAAGGGACCCCAAAAGCTGATCAGCTGGGATAGACGCCTTGTTGATAAGATAGAAATCATGGCTGGGGTGTGGGGCTTGATTTCAATCTCAATACAGAGTCAGCAAGCAGTTAAGAAGTGCCTGGGGGCAGACTCTGCCACCCCTGACCCTACAGAGGACAGAGCACATTTTCTAGCTTCACCTCCCTTTCCTGGCTGTCCTCCCCTCACTGATGCTGTGTGATTGTTCCAAGGATAAAAAGGCCAGGACCTTGTTCCTTAGCAGTGTCCTGCATTGTGCAGCGTCCATTTGTCAGTGCCGTGTCATCATCACCAACAAAACAGTTTTCTTAGATTTCAAGTTTGTTTGTGTGTTGTTGTTTTTTTTTTTTTTCATGGCCATGAATTCTGTCAAGTGCTTTGTTGCGTCCATTGCTATGGTGGTGTGTGTTTGTCTCCCCTTCCTGCTGGTGTGGCCCTTTACAGTGATGGAGCTTATATGTTGGCACATCCTCAAATGCCAGGAGTAAATCTCACGTAGTCACGGAGTATAAATCTTTAGATACACAGCTGACTTGTTTGTTTGTATTTGTTGAGGATTTTGCTGCAGTGCTAAGGGATATTGGTTTGTGGTTTTATTTTCTTGTAGTGTCTTGGTCTGACTTTCTCTTTAGAATCACGCTGATCTCACAGAATGAGTGAGGAATTGATGTCTCTTCTTCAGTTTTGGAAAAGTGTGAGAAGGATTGGTCTAGGCTCTTCTCTAGATGTTTGGTCAATGATACCACGACACCCAGAGCTTTTCTCTGTTGGGAGATTTTTTTTACTATTGATTCAATCTTCTTACCAATTAAAAGTTCAGACTTTCCATTTCTTTGTGCTTTAGTCTTGGTAAGTTTTGTGTTACTAGAAATTTACTCAAGATTGCTGCTATGCTTGTGCTGTTTTTAAATTTCACAGAGTCATTTCCCATGCCTGAAGTCGCTTGTGGAAGCGTGACTGATGGCCCACCATGGGCACAGCGATGCTGCCTGTTCCCCTTGCTGCCCAACATGCGTCTGCAGTGAACAGTCCTGGGGCAGAGCTTCTGGCTCACAGGCTTCATAAGCATTTTACTGTCCTGACCAAGTCTTTCTGGTGATACCAAAAAGGAAATTGGCTCAAAGTTCAGGCAACTGTGGAACCAAGCTTAGCCAAGGTTTCGCCATTTTGTATATCCTCCACCTTGATATGTTAGTCCTTGTACAGCCGCATTCCGGAGATAGTTTTGACAGTCACAACCCTCACTCCACTTGGTGACGAAAAAGCAGACCACCCCAGCCGCCAATGAGGGCAGTCCTATCCATAAATGGGACAGCATCACTAACTGTCCAATCAGTTTGAAACTATAACCGTGTGCGCCAAAATGCCTTTGTAGTAGCCAATGAGTAATTGCCAGCCTGTTTCAAAACTCGCGCCTGCTTGTGACCCTATAAGAGACCCCTGCTTCCTCTGTTCGGGGTTCTCGACCTCTGCCATTGCATTGGTGCGTGTCGAGGGCCCGGACTCGAGCCCGTAATAAACTCCTTTATGTTCTTGCATCGGCTGTCTGTGTCCTTGGTGGCTGCACTGGTCGACGTTGGGCACAACACAACCAGTTGAGCAATGAGAATAATTTATTTACACAATTCTCTTATCTTAATACTCTAGTTCCATTTTTATAGTGAATTATCTGTTTAATAGTAGGGGAATTACAGATGTATATATATATATATATAATTAATTTTGCCTAAAAGCTATAACTCTTAAATGCAACTCTATTTATAGCAGGTTTACTTTTATTTTAACATGTTAATATTCAGGTGAATTCACTAATCATATTTGAAATGTGATAGTTAATCACACCCATCATCATGATCAAAACATTAAAAGTTAACATCTGCTGAAATTTGCTCTGGACCAGACCCCTTGCTAGCCCCTCATGTGTCACCTCACTGGCCCGAGCGGGCAGCCAGGATGACCTCTAATTCAGGAGGAGCAAGGGGAGTGTGGGACTTGTGAGCTTAGGGCTTCCAGGAGGCAGAGCCCAGGCCTGACCCTATGCCTTTCAGGCTAAAGTTTCTTTAATGTTCACCAGGAAACAAGGCTAAACTATAAAATCGGTAATTGTTACAAAAGGACAAAATATATCCTGAGGGGCAGTCACGGGTCCAGAGGAACAGGCTACTAATGCTGGGCCCAGAGGCCCGGTGGCTGAGTCCTGGCTTTCAGGCTTGCCTGGCTTGGGGAGCTACAAACGAGGAGGAGATGCCCCTCGGGACTGCGCAGTCCCAGCCAGTTTCCCCTCCCACTGACAGGAGGCGAAGCCTGAGTCCCCACCAGCAAGCCCGGCCTGGGGGCTAGTGGCCAGGCCAGGTGCCACCCTCTCACCTTGAGGCCACAGCCCCTCCCTGGCCAGCTGACTCTCTCCTGGGGCTGTGGGGGCGGGGGGAGACCTGCTTCTGGGCTTCTACCCTTGACACAGGGTGTGGCCGCACAGGGACTAACATCCCAGGCCCAACTGACAGCCCCCCCACCCCAGCCACTGAGGGGGTCCAGACCCACACCTGCTGGCCCACTACCCTTCAGGGGTCCCAGGGCCCTGTTCTGGAAACAGCTCCCAGGCCCAGCTCCGGCCCCGGGCGGGCTGCTGGGGGTGGCTGGCCGGCCAGCGCAGGGGGTGAGTGGGCATCCGCCTCGGGGGTGGACGTGTTGGGCGCCGTGTCCAGCCCTGGGAAGAAGGGGATCTTGGGGGCGTCTCTGCTTACACTTTGGGACGCCTGAGCAAACCCGGCCCTGAGCCGCCCTCCCTGCCCCACACGGCGCGACGCAGCGTCCTGGGCCGTCTGGTCCCACGGAGGGGCCCGCAGCCCTGAGTGCTGGGGTCCGGCTCGGGGCCGCCTGGAGCTGCCCGGGCCGGGGGCTCTCCCGACCCCGAGTGGCCCGTCCTGGGCGCGGCTCTCTGCGCCTTCAGACCCTTTCCTGGCCGGTGTGAGCACTCGGGCGCTCCGGAGCGACGGGACGGGAGCAAAACTTCCAGGCGGCCGAGGTCGCTCTAAGGATCCAGCGGCTGAGACACCTGCGGGGGGGGGGGGGTCCCCGCGCTCCGGAAACGCCCGAGCCGGAGTCGGGCGGGGCGGGCGGGGCCGCAGGTACCCGGAGCCCCCGCCCGCGCCCTGCCCGGGGTCGGCGCCTCGCGAGCGGCCGGCCGGGCCTCCCGGGGCGGGGCGCGAGGCGGGAGGCCGGGCCGGGCGGGGCCGCAGGTGCGCGCGGGCGGGCGGGGCCGGGGCGGGGCCGGGGCGGGCCGCGCCGCTCGGGACTCCGGACCCGGGCGCCGCCCCGGCGCGGCCGCACCCGCGCGGACTCCGGCCCGGCCCGGCGGGGCGCAGACGGCAGCGAGCCCGACCGCCGCGCCGCCGCCATGCGCGCCCTGCCCGCGCCCCGAGCGAGCGCCCCCGGCCCCGGCCGGCCCGGCCCCGGCCCCCGCGGCGCCCCGCAGGAGCGCGGTGGAGCGGCTGGCGGCCGACCGCGCCCGGTTCCTGCGGGGCCCGCGGGGGCCGGGCCGGGCGGCGGCCCCGAGGGCGGCGGCCCCGCGGCGGGCGAGGGCCCGGCGGGCGCCCCCGACCCGGTGCCGCGCCGCGCCGTCGCGCGGAGGCCGCTGCGGCCCGACTCGCTGCTGCTGTACCGGGCGGCGGGGCGCGCTCGCGCGGGGGGGACCCGGCGCCGGCGCCCGCGGCGGCCCCCCCCGGCCCGGCCCGCGCCCGCCGCGGCCCCCCCGGCCCGGCCCGCGCCCGCGCGCGACGCCTTCTTCCGCTTCTGCGGCCTGGAGCCCGCCGTGGTGGACGCGCTCGGCCGGGACAACTTCGCCGCCGCGTCCGAGCGCGCCGGGGCCCGGGCGCGCAGCGCGAGCGTCGCCACCTCCGACAGCGGCTTCTCCCGCCGCAGCGGCGGCGACGCGGGGCCGCCGGACGACGAGGAGCCGCCCGGGCCGTTGCGCGCCGCCCCGTCGGTCGTGGAGAGGAACGCGCGCATCATCCAGTGGCTGTTCACCTGCCGGCGCGCCGCGGCGGCCGACCCAGGTGGGCTGGCGGGGCCGGGCGGCCCCGGTCCCGGGGGCGCGGGGGGGGGGCGCGGGAAGACCGGCCCGGCCTGTCCGTGGGCGCGGGGAGAGGCGGCCCCGCGCGCCCCGTCCGCTGCCGCCCCCAGCCGAGCCGCTCTGGCCGGTTTCCTGGTAGGGCCGGCCGGGCCGCCCTGCGCGCTCTTCCCAGCCTCCCTGGCTCCCTGCAGCTGCCGCCGCTCACGCCGGGCCGGAGCTTTCCAGGAGGGCTGCCCGGGCAGCTCAGTGGACAGCAGGGCCGGTCCCGGGCTCTGGGCCTCAGGGCTCCCGTACCGGGCGGAAAGGGGCGGTGTCCCCGCCCGCAGCCTGGGCGCACCCAGGGCCCGTGGCTCGGAGCGGAGACTGTGCTCTGCGTCCACCTCCCCTTGTGCGGACATGCTCTGTGGACCTTTGAGGGCGTGAGGAGAATTCCAAGGCAGCTCTTCTCCCAGCTCTCCAGCGCAGAGCGAGCTCCGCGCCTTTTCTCCCTCACCTTCAATGACAGCATCCAGGTTTCTGACAAGCGCCTGCGAGGGCGTTATTTCATTTGCCCTTCAGATGAGTGACTTGAAGGCGGTGTCCAGCCTGGCGTGGAGGGGCCCCTGCACTGGGCCTTGCTGACCACGCTGCTGCCAGGGAGAGGCCTGGCAGGTGCGCTGAGGCCTGTGCTTCAGTCCTCCTCGTGGTTTGTGGGGTTTATCCGTTCGTTTCCCACTAAGCTAGAAAGTGTAAGGCCCCACAGAAAGTAGAAGGCAACCGAAATCCAAGTAAAGCCACAATCGAGCTTGCATTCTGCGCAGTTGTGCTGTGGGGCTGAGGCGAGGCGGCGGCAAGGGCTTCCTGCAGAGCGGCCTCCAGCGCGGCCAGGGCTCTGCCGAGCAGGTGGTGGCCTGGTGGTTAGAGCCCCGAGCGCAGGGGAGGCCTGGCTGGTGTGACTAAGATGGAGCTTCCGTTGTCCATTCGCCGTGGCAGGTGGTTCACGACTTTGTATGACTCCGCGGAGGCGGTCACCCGTTTTCACAACTGGACCAGGAAGGGAAAACAAAAGCCACGTGTGTTGAAGTGAAGAGTGACTCTTGGGGCCCCTCCTCGGTGCCACAGGCTGGAGCAAACCAACCCCCCCCCCCAGTTTCTTCTCTGAAGAAGAGCAAGGCCTGGCAGGGAGTGACCCCCACAGGCATCCGGTGGCTTAAGCAGGTCCTGGCCGACTGTCCAGCTGGCCCTGACCCTGGAAATGGTGGGAGCGGGGACGCTGGCAGCAGTTTCTCCCCAACTTGCTGGGGTGTTTGTGTTGGATGCAGATGAAGCAAAAAATGCAGAAAATTTGAGATAAACAAAAGTCTGCTCTCTAGGCAAAAAAGATATTTTATATGGAGGTTTTTATTTCCTCGGTAGATAGCGATATTATAAATCAAAATTGCTCGTCCAGAATTCAATAACAAGTTCATAAGAGTAAAAACGCTTTCAGCATGACTGGTGGGGTCTGCAGTGCCCCTGGGACCTGGGAGCGGCGATGGGGTCCCTCCACAGCCCCGTTTCTCCGAATACAGTTCTCAGAGCCCGTGTCCAGCCGTTGTGTGTGGTCGGCCTCCTGTTCTGGGCTCATGATAATGCAGCTGAAACTTTGGGATCCCCGCCAGTTGCTGATTTTAATATTGTTATAAAAGATTGGCGACTTGTCCCTTGAGTAAATCTGGGATAAATGTTGTCATTTCAGAACAAAACTCTCAGCCTCCCACTGCCGGCTGCATCTCCCGCCTCACCCCTCGCCCCCTGACGTGCAGAGCTGTCCCAACTGCATTTTATGAAGAGGCCACTGAGTGACCTGAAGCTGCCCACCCTGTCTTCTGGCCGACTCGTGCCTTTTTTTTTTTTTTTGAAAGATTTATTTATTTATGCATATAAGAACTGGGGTAAGGGCCAGAGGTGCGGGGGTAAGAGGATTCACGAGAGAGAGTGGGGAGCAGAACAGGCAGACTGACTGAAACACACTGCTGAGGGGAGCAGCAGGGGACAGGAGAGGTCTGCTGCGCCATGTGGGTCAGCTCCCTGGCTGGAGATTGAACTCGTGCTGCAGTGGCTGTGGATAGCTTCACAGTGCTGTGCTTAACCCCTTGTGCCACCAGGGAGGCCCCTTGGCCCGCACCTTTTAGAGATAGTTATGTTCATTCTCTTTGCCCTCAAGTATTTGACCATCTGCCTTGTTTTCTGTCTGTTCACCCCACTGTGGTGTTTAGCGCTGGCCTCCCCAACATCCCAAGGCACCTGCTCTGCAGCTGTGAGCGCTTGGAGGTGAACGAAGCTTCAGAGGTCTAGAAAGAGGCCTGCAAGGAGACAGTGCTGGTTCTGTCAGAGAAACTGTACTACAGGCACCTTTACTGTCAACTTGTCTTCAAGCTTTTAAATGCAAAAGGAGATGTCTTAAAATGCAGGAGTGTCAGTTCCTGCAGGAACCACGTGCAGAAGCATGGGCGGATTGCTGTGGACTCGCCGCCTTTCCTTGCTGCTCCGGAAGCGAGCTGTCCTCACTGCCCTGGGTGCCCAGGCCCGGGACCCCATGGAGCCCCCTTCAAGGATGCCCAGGTCCCTTCAAAAGAGCCAAATGCCCGGAGACAAGGGAGAAGACGGGCCTGGATGCTGCTCGGAGGCTTCCTCCACTGGTGCACCTGCCCTCTCAGGCAGCAGAAGTGGGGAGAGCTGTCTGGGAGTACTTCCAGGAGCACCCCCGCCTTCCTGGCCTGCTGACCAAGAGGTGCCAAGATGACACCTCAGTCAATTAAAAAAAAAAAAGAATCTTAAAGCTAGCATGGAAGTGCTGGCACTGGCCGGGGCCGCCTGCCTCACCCCGTTGTTTGGACCTAAGCTCCGAGGCCCAGGAAGTATGCAGGCTGGTGGGGCAGACACTCCATGGAGCCTCCCTACTGGGCACCGCTGACCCATAAACCGTGGGGAGGCTCCAGCCCACGACTGGTCACCCCAGCCACGAGCACTGCAGAGCCCGTGAGGCCGCAGGGCCACCCCTTGGCTGTGGATGCTGCAGGCACCACTAAAGAGATGCCAGAGCCAAAATGCGCTCCCCAAGCCCACCCCTGGTGCCCAGCAGTGCCCTGAGTTCGCGCCTGCACCTGGCAGGCTCCTGTGAGAACCTCGGCAGAGCCTGGCCAGGGTCACCTCTCGCTCACCCCACAGGCTGCGACCGGACAGGTCCCCGCAGTGTCCCCGGCCAGGAGGAGGCTAGCTGGTCCCGCATCCCCAGAGCTGGCTGTGTGTTTCCATGATGACCCCCAAAGAGGATCTGCCCCCCAGTCAGCTCTTTCGGAGTCACCACGTTTGGCCAAAATACATCTCTTTGAGGACAAAGACGGGGTTATAAAGAATGTGGAGGGGAAAGAAGGGGGTTTTTCAAAAATATTTCAAAAAAAAATTTCCCCAAAAATATTTCATAAATCAATTCACTTTGATATATTGTATTTGTTTATATTGTACATTTTGATGACTTTTGCTGTGAGCTTAGGTCTTTGAGTTTAATGTTTTATTTTAACACCGTTATTGGTCTTTGGGTGGTTTTCCTTTGCTTCATATGGTTTTCGTTTTTATCAGTGTAATTTTAAAGTCTCCCCTTTCTCCCGTTCGCTGAATCTCAGCTTTGATGCTGAGTGGGTGACCCCGGCTGGTGCCCTGCGGCTCCCTCCGGGCACTGCCCAGCCCCAGCTCGCCCTCTGAAATGTCGCTGTTTGCCGTTCGCTGGATTGCGTTTAGTCAGGAGAGCTCATGGCAGCAAAGGTGCGAGGGTTTTCTGAAGAGTATCTTTCCTGTGCAGCCCCTTCATTTGCGGGCATTGCATCACTTTCATTGATTGCACATGTGAAAGCTTTACACAAAATTGTTTTGTGCTTTTCTGCTGTCAGAACAGAACGAACCAAAACCGAGGGGCTGTCAGTGTCACTGATGAGAAATATCCAAACAAATTGGTTTCTTTTTAACACCACATCCTCAGGGAGCCCCTACCATAGGGGCAGGAAGGGAGGGAGTGCACCGGCAGGGCCTGGGGGGTGGGGCCATGCCCAGCAGTGCCGGGATGGCCTCAGCTTGGGGCCTGCTGTGCAGCTGGAGGCCGAGTCCTCCCCTAACCCAAACCAGCAGTTTGTGGTTCACTGTGAGAGAATCAGACTTTGCAGCTCAGTCTGAATGAAAAGCTTGCAGTTGCCTCCACAAGGACAAACAATTGTTATTGCTGCAAACTAGTTTCATTCTTTCATGAGAAAATGAGCATATAAATGATGTGATTGAACATACGGAAGGAGAATCGCTGCTGACGTGAGCTTGAGGGCCTGCTTTGCCATGAGGCCCAGGCCGGAAGAGCACAGACGTCGGCGGCTCCAGTCAAGGATACCCACCGGTGACAGATGGCACCCCCACCTGCATCTGTGCAGAAGCCTAATTCCTCGCGAGGCCCTGGGGGTCCCAAGCTCCCTGCCGTGGTGGGCACATCCTACCAGGAGGGCTAGATGGACAGACAGACAGAGGGTGGGATGGATGAAGAAGACAGCTAGCGAGTGGCAGGATGGGTGGTCCAGGGGGGCGGGGTCAGGATGGATGACCCGCAGGCTGGGGAGGGGGCAGGTGCTGTGGCCGGGGAGCCATTCACGAGTAACATGACCCCTTGTTTCCAGCTTCCCATGCAGTGGCCAGTCTGTCCAAACCACAGATGGACAGTGGGGTTCAGGCACATGGAAAAACCAAGCAGCAGAGAAGGAAAGCATGCAGATGATGAAGACGTGCCCCTGGGGGTGTCCTGATCCCCTCTTTCGCCCTGGCAGCTTGGACATAAAGCTGACACAAGGCAGAACATGTCATGGGGGCCTTGGCACTGCTGGCGGGTCTGGCTGGCCTGGTCAGAACCATGGCATGCCCTGTCCAGCACTGGGCGTGCTCCTGCAGGTGAGTGCCACAAGCCAGAGAGAACATCTGCGGGCATCCCCAGACCCGCTGATAGCTGTTCAGCCAGGAACACGGATGGCTACGGCTGGGCATGGTGCTGCCTCCACCGCCCGGAGGGATTCCAGGCCCCACACACCAGCTGCCCAGCGGGCCGAGGCCAGGCAGACCTTCTTCCCCTGTCCAGGGCATGTTCTGCAGAGCTGCCTAGGTGAGCACCATGGTCATGTCCTGTCCTGCTGGCCTGACCCCCAGTGGGGAGGCCCCCGGGACCCCAGGGAAATGGCCAGTCCCAGCCACATGGGGAGGCTGGCCACCTGGGAGGGGCCTGACCGGCACACCCCTGGATGCCCAGTTCTCATGCTCACTTAGGGCCCCTCTGAGGAAATCCTTTGAGCACTGAGGATTTTAAGTGCTTGTTTGGCTTTTCTGTCCCTGCCCCACACCAGACCAGCTGAGGGTGTTCCCTGCCCAGTGGGGAAGGTGCGGGCAGGTCTCTGCTGGGAGGAGACTCAGGCAGGCCTGGCCAAGGAGAAGCTCGTAGCAGGCCCCGGAGCCAGAGCACCCCTTGTGCGGTGCTCCTGGGAACAGCCCGCAAAGATGAAGCCGAGGGCAAAGGGATGTTAGCACAGGCCTGGGTCAAAGCACCAGTTAGGGGAGAGGCCCTGAGAGCCAGGTCTTCCTGACAGGGAGGCAGCTGTCTCTGCCCCAGGGCGGGTTTTAAGAATGGAAGCAGCCAGGATATTCCAGGCCCATAACTTCCCAAGGGTGTCTCTGCAGGGCTCGAAGCAGGGGCCCCTCCCAGCTAGACAGGCCAGGGCCCAGGGCCACCTGTGTGTGACTCAGGCAGGCGGGGCTGCCTGTCTGGGCTGGGAAAACTCAGCACAGCAGGCAAATGATGGCTCAGTTGATATGTCAGTTTTGCAAAGTGGTTTTTTTTTTTTTTAAGGATTTATTTATTTATGCATACAGAACTGGGATACAGGCCAGAGGTGTGATAGGCGAGAGGATTCACCAGAGGCAGAGCAGGGAACAGAACAGGTGGATTGACTGAAGTACACTGCTGAGGGGAGCAGTGGGGAGTCAGGAGAGATCTGCTGCGTCCTGGGGGTCAGCTCCCTGGCTGGCTGGGGATTGAACTTGTGCTGTAGTGGCTGCAAACAACTTCACAGGTTGTGTCTTAAACCCTTGTGCCACCAGGGAGGCCCTGAGTTGTATGTTTTTAAAACAAGAATAAAGGAAATCAGAGGGAAAGCAAGTAAGGTGGGGAGGAGGGGGGAGGGCTGGGGGTGCGGCCAGGGCCTCGAGGGCCCGGTGCTGGAGCACCACCTGTGGGCCTGGCCAGCCTGCTTGAGTGACCCGTGAGCTTCTCCTCGTGTCCTCAAAGAACCTGGACACAGGGACTCCGACCACACACGTGTTTGCTGCCTGTGAGAGGCAAGAGTGAGCCCAAGGACTCACCTGCTGCTCCCACTGGACCCCCCACTCGCTGCATTCAGGGCCCCGCGCTTCCATCCAGACGTGGAGAAAAAGGACAGAAAGAGGCCAGAACCCAGACCTGTGTCCACCTGCCAGGCCATCCACGCTGCTCCATCTTGTCTCCACCTGCCCGCAGCGGCCACATACGTGGCCCACAGGCTGGGGCCTCCTGGTAGCTCTGGGGCTGGGAGGAGAGTGTGCCTGTCCACTCATCTGCTTGTGACATCAGGCGTTCACTGGAAATGGATTTTTTTCCCTCTTGCAAATAATTTCCTCTAAAAGTCTCTCATCTCAGGGGCCGATGGCATTAGCTGTGATATATCAATTTGAGAAAAAATTGAGAATGAGCCACATGAGATAGGAATTCTCAGGATAACAGTCAGAGAAAACCTCAGGTAAATGGGCCCGTCCTCGACCCTCCCGGTGGGCAGCTGGGAGCGGCCCGTTGCTGCAGGCCCCCCACAAGGGTGCGCTGCTCCTGCAGGCTGGGGACCAGGGAGCCCCGCACTGGTCCTGCAGACCACCACGGGAAGCACTCGTAAGGCCTGGGCCGTGTGTCTCCTCAGAGTGGCAGCCTGTTCCCATAGCGGCAGCCCCGTGGCGCCAAGGGCACGTGCCTGTTCTGACCAGCAGAGCTGGCATTTAACAAGGACCTACTGTGCGCCGGGCCCAAGCTAAGCGCGTGTCTGTTGATGTCCCTGGGTACAAGCGTCCAGGAGAGCCACCCAGGCACAGCCGAGGTAGCTGGGCCTAGGGCTGTGGGCCTGGGGCCCTCTGGAGACACCTGGCATTCAAGGCCATTTCTTTTCCTCCTGAGGAAACCTTCCCTATAAGCCAAGGGCCCCAGAGCTTCAGGGGCAGGCAGACCCCAGAGCACAGGGCTGCACTGTCCTGCCGTGCAGGCCTCCGTGACAGTCCGGTGTGGGCAGCAGTGGGCCCTGAGATGAGGACACAGGGCGTCTTCAAGGGCGAAGAAGGGTTCGCCCAGAAAGGTGGGTCTCTGGAGGCAGCTGGCAGGGACTGTCCTGAAGGGGCGAGGGTCCCAGCAGGGCACTGAGGGAGGCTGGTTTGGAGCTGGGCCCCCAGGCAGAAAGTGAATCCAACCCAGAAGGCCCTCAGGGGCGTTCGAAGCAAAGAAATGGCCTCTATTGCTTATCTTGTAGAACAGGAGTCAACAAAGATCTTTTCTGCAGAGGATTAAACACTTCAGACACTGGGGCCGGGGCGTGGTCTCCGTGACTGCCCATGGCTGTGCCGGAGGGCAGCCGCGAGCGTCTACAACAAATCAACAGCATCTCCCAAAAGCAGTGGTGGTGGGTCCTGGCCACTGCCTGTCTTGGAAAGGTCAGATTTAGGCACAGTAGAGTGGGTGTATGGGCGCTCCTGTCTTAAAATGGCTGATGAAGACACTGAATTCTCCCCCTCCCTACCCAAGCCCTGAAAATTGAAGTGCAGAAAGATAGACAGCATGTAGGTGATGGAAAGGTAGATAGATGGGAGGGGGCGGGGGAGAGAGAGCGAGAGCAAGAGATATGACAGGACATGGTTCTGCTAGAAAACAAGCAAGACATAAATTCGTGAGCCAACAAAATAAAAAGCGGAAGCAGGCTGGAAGCCAGCAGCTGCGGGCGCAGGAAGTCCCTGAGCTGGCAGCGCCCCTCCCAGGAACAGTTGACTCTCAAAGCTGAGCACAGGGAATGGCCACTGAACACCTGAGAAGACAGCAGGTGCCACAAGGTGGAGAAGCTTCTAGAAGGGGAGCAGAGCCCATGTCCAGGAAAGGCCCCTCAGGCTGTGGGAGCATCTCTGTGATGCCTGAGCACAGTGGGGGCCTAGAGCGCGGGTCGCTCCCACCTGCTTTTCTGCCTTGATGATGCGCGGCTGCTGCTCTCCACGTGGCTGCTGCTCTCCATGCAGCGACCAGCTCACAGCCATGTGCACTGAACTAGGTAGGTATCTTAGAAGTGGCGCAGCTGGTACTGAAAGCACCATCACTGTGCAGGGTGAGCTAAAGTAGAAACTTGGAAAATGATACCAATTAGAGCCTCTCTGGTAGTGCACGGGGTTAAAAGGCAACCTATGAAGCTGTCCGCAGTCTCCGCAGCATGAGTTCGATCCC